GGTGCACTGAATGTTTGTGGTAATCGTCTGTTGTAAGTGTACTGACGATCCTTAAATCCTTGCATTGCAGTGGTCAGTTGATTAATCTTTGCCTCAAGATCATCGAGTCTATCAGTAGAGTGTTCAGCAGGTGTTGCAGCTTTTGCAGTTGCTGATTTCTTCTCTTTGATTTGAGGTTGATGCTCCATCTCTACTTTCCTCACTGCTGATCTGAGCTCATCAAAGTTGAGAGTCTTGTCAAAGAGATGTCCACAAATATCTTTCAGTGATGGCCTTAATCCTTTGAAGAACATTGTCCGTAGCATCTCATTGGACTGTGACTGTGCAATAAGTCCTTTCTGTATGGCTTTGCCTAAAATGTCCTCTAATCTGCAACTCCATCTTGCACATTCCTCATCATCCTTTTGTCTAGCACTATAGAACTCGGACAGGATGTCCTCTTTCTCAGCTACAGTACCATAGATGCTATCTAGTTTCTTGATGATACTTTGAGTAGATGCCCCTGGTCCAAGATGCACTGTCACACGACTCGCTTCTCCCTTCAACGAACGTCTAATGGCATGATGGATAGTGTCTGGATGATATGATTCATTGATGAAACATTCTACTTCATACTTCCAAACATCATAAGTAACATCACTCTTACTATCTCCTGAGAAAGTCGATATCCGTGGGAACGGAGTGTAAGGCATAGGTTTCCCAGAAGATGGTGGAGGTTGAGCTGTGTTACTGGAAGCTGTTGTGCTTGGAGATTCAGTTGTCTCTGTAGGTTCTTCCTTAATAAATGTAGCTGTCATCCAGTCTATGAAGTCCTGTGGGGTATCAGCCTTAGGCTTCAACTTCATTGCCTTCCAGGCAATAAGCATGTTCTTCACCTCCTCCTTCGTCATCGCTGCTTCTTCAGACATGATTGTTGAATAATTGTATGGTAACACAAATAATAGTACACAATATTTACAATGCTGCAGAATAATACACAATATTCAAAATAAAGCAACTGTTTGTACCTGTAATTTATCTCATGGTGAAATAAAATTGCAAATAATTCCAGGAGGGTAGTTCAGAATGAACTAATAATCTTTGGGAAAGTATAAACAAAGTCAAAATATAAATAGAAAATGAAAGTGGGATGCACTTCCGCTAAGTGTTGCACTTCCGGTCAATAAATGCACTCAAAATATTTTATCTTATGGCTGAAACACAAAATGCAATTTACAACCTGCAATAAAGATAACTTTTAATTCTTTGCACTGTATTAAGCAAGTTTGGTAAGCGTGAAACAATTCAAGAACAGATCAAAAATATCAGCGAATAATTTCAATACTGAAAATAAACAGATATCTTTGTCACTATGAACTTATTTGTCGATCAAAATCAGCTGATTTTATGTTGAAGAAATGAAGTGCAAATAATCAAATAAACACAAGGTTTTAAGCAGAAATATTTACCTGAGACGTAGGAATCTTTGAGATAACAACACAAGAACACAAAAACTGAATGCAAAGATTGTTGTTGAAGTTTTAAAACAAAATTAAAGTGCTGAAAACAAAAAAAAATCAAGAATTACCGAATCACGTTTTGTAAACTTCCGGTTTATGAATGAAACGGATTTCGAGCTCGATCGGAATTCGCAAAACAAAACCGAACTCGACTGAAATGCGGATAAGAAACCGAACCCGATCTAAATTGATACGAATGAAATTATACAAACACTACTGTAAACAATAAATAATATGTACAATGCAGAGGTAATGGTATTTTGGGTAATAGGGTGTTTTAACTTCCAGACAATTACAAAACCACTGATAAAACTGAAGCAACAATGACCTCACAAAATATCACGACAAACTCAGATCAACTGACTTGAATACGACCAATATAACTAGTAAATTCAACTGTTGTAGTCTTACTGTCTTGTCTGTAAAATGTCAGATGAAAGATATAGCAATTAGCTACTAATTAACACTGGGAATGGAATGAGGGAAATATTTGCACTGTTAATTACACAACTTACCCATTCTCTCACTCTCACTGTAGTTCTTCTTACATCTTAAAGTTCTTATACCAATATGTGCACAAAAAAAAAAAAAAAAAAAAAATAACAAACCCAGTTATGACGGACAGAACAGACAGACAATGATCAACTTTGATCTATAAAAATATTACTAGCTAGCTAAATGTAGGCCTATTAAAAAAATTTACACCACTGATCGATCGTGAATATTAAATTCTTTACAAAGAAAAAAAATATATATATATATTTTTACATATTCAACTCTAACGGTGCACCAAGTTAAATCTACAGTTTATAAACATGCATGTAACTCACCTGCTGGTAAAGATAAATATCACAGATTAAATATTGCATGCAGTCTCAAATGCACAACACCGGTGTCACTGATGATCCTTCAGAATGTCACTTGTTAGGCGCGGATCAAAGTTTGTAACTTGGGTGGATACACACAGTCATCACAGGTAAGTTCATGCGTCACTGACGGCCTGACGATCTCCATGGACCCGTAAACGTACCACACACCATACACTCGTCTCCAGTCTGCACTCAAAGCCACTGTGTCCCAACGTGGGCGCCAAAATGTAACAGGGGTATCACTATGGAAGTATATAACACAACACTCCTGTCAGGGTTCATCAGATTTATTGCACAGTGGAGTGATTATGTATATATTGTGTTGTATTATGTAAGCCCTGTAAATATCATAAAAACAACAATAAATATAATGTAAATATTTATCACACACAATGTTCATTATTTCACATGAAGATAATTATTGAATTATCATCGTTTATATTTACATTGTCATCAAAGGGAGATAACTCTCGAATATATAAATCTTTACATATTAATTACTCCCATAATATCATAAAAAAATATTTAAGATTAAAAACATATAAATCTAAATCTCACCATTCTATGGGAATAGGCTTTCCCACAAATTGTTAATATAGAAGTATCTACATGAATGGTGATCTGTAATTTATTACAATTTATTTAAAAATAAGACCCCTTAAAAATATATCAATTGCTCACTTTGAACAATATCATCAAATATATCTTTGATCATCATAAAAACATATAATCTGATAAACATCAAATTACTTCTGTTAAATACTTAATATTGATCTTGTTATCAATAATAAATATACATCATAAAATAACTTTCTTTCAAATTCATTCATTCACTTTAGTAAGTGCAAATGGAAATAACTTTTGCATACTATAGGATGAACATTTAAAATATGAAATAATATTAGTAACTTACCAGAAATGGGAATCTGTCCAAAGTCAAAAATGTCTTTTATGAATATATATATATGTGGTCTGGTCAAATCAACCTCTGAACAAAGAATGCTCATAATAAAGCGGGAAAACTCCAACCCAGTCAATAAAACCAATAGAATCAGACCTTTCAAATCAATAACCAATAAAAACCAAAATAACAATAACCACTTCCAAAACACCTGACCAATGCCCTTAGGTATATATATAAGTATGTACAGGTAAGGGAGAACTAAGGGGTGGATCTAGGTTTTGAATAACAAATTTAAATAAAAGTTAAAACATATATTCTGGCAAGTTCTGTTACTTTATTTTTGTACAAATCCAACACTATTACATAATGTATCCAATTTATAAACAACTGTCCCACCTGCCTGCTTAAGCGGAAACAAAACTCCCCTCCGTAACAAAAGAGCGCACCAAGGGAGATAATCTCGAAACTTGCGTATTGGTTTGCTCGAGAATTAGTATTGGCGCGAATGCGCAGGGGACAGAGTAAAACCAGTTTGACCACTCACACACCCGTACTCTCACTGACCACTCACTCGTATAAATGAATGAATGAATGAATGAATAAGGCAATGAATAAATTCCGTAGTGAGAACGGAATTCACTAGTTACTATAATAATATAATGCCTTAGACAAATGTATGAATATGATATGAATGATAATTAGTAATATTAATTAATTAATTATAATTCACCCTGTGACATTCTCCTCCTCTTTGAGAAAAATTTGTCCTTACATTTCATCAAATTACATGTAAAAAATATATATCAAATGAAATGAAAATATTAAATATTAAAAATATCAACATACATATAATTGATAATTAATGTTTTGCAACATCTTCTGCTCTATAACAGAAAGCATTTCGTATTAGCACAAGCTGAAATACAAAATCATTCATTCAATTCATATCAATGTATTATTGTCCTAAAACTGGAATCATGAATGGCTAAGCTGAAAAGCAATCCATGATTAATAAAGTATCCTGAAATCTAGGTAAATGATCAACTAGCGATCATGTTAGTCATAAAACTATCAACTATCACATACATCCTAAAAATATCAACTTTAGATATCTACTTCATAAAACTATATACAACTAACTATCTGGAATATACTATCTGAAATCTAATCCTTGTAATAATCCTGTGACATTCTCCTCCTACACATACCATACTTGAGCATCATGCTCCCCTACAACCCAATTTCCGTATCTATCAGGAGGATTTTTAACTCTTGTGGAACGTCTTAAACTTGGTTGAATAGTAGACGGGCTCGATTCACTACCTCGCGACAAATTATCACGCATTTCGGATAAATTTGTACTCGATATTGTGTTTAAAGAAGAACCACTGTCCTGTATTTGATATGCAGGGTCAACGGAAGAAGAATTTTCTAACCTTGACATAGGTCTACTAAAATCTGAAATATTAAATGTGTTAAATGTCAAACCATCTGATCTCATTTGTTCGTTTGAACTATTGAGATGAGTATTATGGTTAACACGTGAAGTGTTATGAACATTATTACATTTATTTGTATTTGCTGGTTTTGTCACCAGTAAAACCTGATTCAGCTTTTTAACTTGTCAACTTTTTGTTGGCCAAGTGTTTAATTAAATTAACATACCATATACATGTTAAAGTCCTATTGGATTTAAAAATAATAATAATTAGGCATATTTCTTCTTAGTGTGGTTTATGGCACTCTGTCCACATTGATGACCTTCGACCTGATGATGATAAAATGCCCAGTTTTCTGGATTTGATGAATCTGTCAGCACATCCAGCCCTGGCCATGGTGAAAGATCCAGCTGAGGACTCATCCAGGACAACAGAGAGAGTGAAAATTCTGCTAGAGCTTCTACATCAGGCAAAAAAAGGTACGATCTTGTCAGATGTTAGTTTTCGTTACCATTTATGATCTAAATTTTCAATTAATTTCATTCAAAATGAAGTAAATACTTCTGTTTTATGTCCACGGAAATAAATACTAAGATTTTAGTCACTCAGGTGACCTTTCGTTATCTGTATGTCATATATGGGAAAAATAATAAAAAAATGATTTTATAGTCTTTGCCTCCCCTTTGCCTAAGAGTTAAGCCAATTTTAAAAAAAAGTGCAATCTTTGAAAACCTTCTTTACTCCTGGGCTTCAAGCAGTCAAACTGTTGGCTTACTTATGCCCTCTCATATTTTTTTAAAATTTGTGGTCCCTGGGTGATGCAAAGGCGTTCTGGTGTTAGGATGAAATTTTATAGATGTAGTGAAAATATATAAATACTTTTAAAGTCTTCTTCTTTCTGCTTTATGTAGCAGACCAATTAAGTACACAAATATGATGTACGAGGTTATTTCTTCCAAAATTATGAAATGTGTATTCCCTGCGTTCTGGTGTTAGGGTAGGATCTATTAATCATATAATGAAAATGCATTATTTTTTTGAAAATCGTCTTCTCTAAATATTACGGTTATGATGAGCAAGAGTGCTTATTCCGAAATTCATGACCTATGCGTCAGAAATACTGGAGTGTGCTTTTTAAGGGCGGGGTTCTATTGATCATAAAGTGAAAATGCAAAATTCTTTGAAAATATTCTTTCTTTCTCATAGGTACTTAGCAGAAAACGTAGTACATGCTTATGATGAGCAAGACTGTCTTTCCAAATGTTAGAAATTCATGGTCCCTGGGTTTTGGGTCCTGGAATCAGGGCGGGGCTGATTGCCTGAAAGTTACCCTGTAAAATTTCCAAAAATGGTAATTAATAATCAGAGTAAGTAATTTATCCCTGTAAAAAATGTAATTGATGTACAAATTGAAATATATAATAATGCAAGAATTTTTAAAATGTATATATAAAGTACTTTTAAAGCTCTTATTGCTCGTGTGGACGTGTAAAAATTGATAAATAAAAATGAGACAAACATACGTAATATTAGTACATTGAATGTTAATTATTGTAAAAGTAGAGAGGCGAATAGAGGGGAGAGATTTTATTGGGTTTTCTTTGTAAACACTGTACTGTGTATTATGCGAAGTCACTGTTGTAATGTTAAGTTTGGTGATAGTGAAAGAGTTCGCATTGACACATACAGGCAAGTAAATAGGTCTACTTTCAAAGTTGTTGATCCCTGTTTTATTTCTCTTGTTTGAGTAACATATCTTATCTTTCAGTTTACTCTGGTTATAAATTGCCATTTTGTGAATTTTTTACATTGTTGAATAATAATCAAGTGAACTTTTAGGGGATGTGCCTCTTGTTTCTTTAATGTTCTTCAATGTTCTTCAATTTGATTAGCATTGAAAGGTCTAATTTTTTTTATTTAATACTTAGTCTGTATATTAATAATTAATTTTTCAACAAACAAATACACTGTCAGAATTAAAAAATGTTAGTTTCTATAATTATTATTGATATCTGATGATTATATAATCTATCACAATTAATAATGTTTCACAGAAAAAGTGACATTCATGAAAGGAGTAGGGCGCCACCTTGCGGCTCTGGTGAAGGAGAAAGAGGAGACCACGGGGCAGTCTGCTGAGAGTTGGCTCTATTCAGATGCCATCAACAGGGACTGTATCAAAAGAGCAGGGACATTCAGGTTATATATATATATATATATATATATATATATATATATATATATATATATATATATATATATATATATATATACATGTATATAAACATTGATCATTTTGGAATCAGAAATTCTTACATGTAATGCCTTTATAGTGATTTGTATTCATCGGTTGACATTAGAAAAGCACAAAAACAAATATGCTTGATTGTATTAAGAGTCATCGTAATTATTGTGTATGTTTTTTCACCACTTGAAGCTATTAACTGTTTAAAATATGCTGTATTCTGACATGCAGAAGAGCTCGAAACCAGTGCATCATTAAGAAATTATCCCCCATCTTAGCTGGCATCATAGCACAAGTGGACACCAACAATAACCTTGACCTTTTGATTAAAACTGACCCAGACACCTGGGAGCACAAACTTTGGCTTGAGATCATTAATGACCCCTCAGCCACACAGATCGAGTATTCCATGATTGTGTCCCCCAAAAGACACCAGGAACTTCCCGAGGTGATGGTGAGGGGGACGGGTTGTGATGGACAGAAATTTACAGCACAGATGCCATTTTCCTGGCTGATTTACAAACTGATTGACCGAACCATGAGGACTTCACAAGATATTGAAAAACCTGGTACATAATCGCCATGGCTTATTTCAAGAACATATATTTGAAGCAATGTTTGTTCCGATAATGATTTGTCATAAAGTGACTTTATGTCTGCATTTAGAGATTGAATATTAAACAATCATGAACAGTTGCCTAAACAATGGCTTTATTGTGTGTTTAGTAATAATTATTAATAACATATAGTGCCATATGCAGAGCCCCTGGGGTCATATATATATAGAAATTGTTTTGCAGAAGCAATTCAAGAATTGGTGAAGAGAATAACAAATATCATAGAGAACACACCTATTGGAAAAGCTCTTCAAAAATGTCTTTGTGAAATCACGGTGTCTGAATTTGTGAAGCCATATCTCAGCGATTTTGTTCATATGGTGTATCATGTGACCAGTGTGGAGGAACATAGGGTAAGTCTCAAAAATTCAAAAGTTCAAAATATTTAAAAAAAATTAAATAAAAAAGAAAACTTAAGTTTTCATTAAGTTGAAAAAGTTTTTTTTAAGATTTATGGCAGAATATGATTACTGTCATGATAAACTTTATTATATTCATTTTAGCTGGTGTATGAAAATTTACTGAATGGAATGAATATGGACTTCAGAGAAGGACTGCAGAGTGTTGTGATGAACTTTGTAGCAATTCATGCTGTACACAATAAATCTGTACCTCGTCTGAGGAATTTTGCCAGCATTACACGAGTCTGGCCTGAGTGTAGTGCCAAAATCATTGAGTTCCAGCAGAAAAGTGCTCAATTCTACTTAGTCACTGATGAAGAACTGGTAATGATGAAAATGCTTTTGTTATGAAATTTCCAATCATCAGTCTTAGCTTATTGGAAATATTGCAATTTTTGTTTAGGTCGATTATCACCATAACTTTAAGTGGTGGAAGAATATAAATTGACTCAACATCTTTTAAGCAGCTAGGTTCAAAGTCTCAAATGTTTATATGATTGTGTAAACAATTTTTACGAATAAATATGAATGTTTTGTTTACCATATCATGTCTATCATGGTTTGCATGGTTGTATCAATTAATTTTAAGTTAAATCTCAAAATGATAAATTTGCTTCACTTTTCAGACCCTGGATATACTTGGCCTCTACCTGTTGTTGCAATCATTTGAGCCTGGGAAGGACTCACTAAATGACTACAGGGGCAGACAATACTGGCAGAAACAGGTGCTCAAGTACCGACCAGTGGTGGAGAGGATTCTGGGACAGTTTGTACAGGAAGTGGATCCATCAGGAGTGGAGGAGTTTGGGAGACGGTGTAGGGAGGGAATTAAGGAGGCCGGGTAAACTGCATACAGAAATAATTCACATGTATAAGAATTTGTATGTAAAGTAGGAACTAAATTGTAAGTACATTGAGCTCGATGGGCTGCAGTGAACAAGTACTTAAACACTTTCTCTTTAAAATTTCAATATTTACTGAATACATAAATGACAGAAATATAGAGTTAAAGCAAATTACCAAAGACAGATGAAATTTTATCTGTTATTATTAAATTTTCGTCATATTACTAGTTATAAGAATACATGACTTCATTATAAGCATGAATATGTTATGTTTTGCTTGTAACATGGTTATAGATTTACTTTCTTCAAATGGATTTAGATGGAGGTGGAATCTTTTGAAATTAATTCTGATTTGTCCAATAGGTTAAATAATGTACATGTATTGCACCTCAGGAAGTTCCTGTTGTCTTTTGCATGAGCTGTTTGCATCTGATTCAATTATTTCTACTTTTTGTTTCAGACACCAATGGACCAAGGTTATAGTCATGAAGCTTTTTCTTCAGCATGTCTGTGCTGAGGACACCACTATACCAGTGGAGAGATGCAAGACGCTATGGGTGGTAGGTATTCTAACTTGAATGATAGAACATAACTTAAAGTTACAATTTTAACAAAATCTCACTGAGCTTTCCAATATCATGTGGTTGAAATAGTATATGTGGAAAAGATAGACTGACCTATAATTGTCATAGAAATATTATGATTTCAAGATGTAAAGTAATTGTCATTTTTGTTTTGCAATTAACAGTTAAAATACTTACACGTAAAGTCAACTGGTAAAAAAAAAAAATCATAATTATCATTTTTGTTTCATTAACAGATGCTCAAAGATAATGTAGACTTCAAGAACATTGAAGCTTTGGAGAAGGTGGAGAAATTCCTAAAAATGTGCATGAAAAAGGCAGTCACCACAGCATTTGGGTAAACAAGAATTATTACACACTGTCACTCATTTGAGTTTTAAGGTCTTATTGCTCTGTTTAAACCTATTTAAATTATTAACATCGTTTACTGAAATAATGAAAAGTAATTCCATTAAAAAGGAGATTATACTGTTAAGTTGTCTCTGGAAGGTCTGGCTCATGCAGGTTTAGCTTTGGGACATTCTTGTATATCCCTTTCAATACTGTAAGTTGTAATTGTCTCAGGATCAGTTTGGCTGCAGAACAGAGGATTGTATTACTAAGAAGCCAGAAACCTCATGTTTTCTGAGTGAGTCTTTGAGTTCCCTTTAGTGCATACTAAATCTTTAGTGGGATACATTGTAGGAGGCTGGATAGTTGTAAAGCCTGTGAGAGTGAGATCACAGAGAGACCTATACAACTCCCCTGTAAGGATGTCATCTGTATCAAGTGTTACAACGATATGAAGATCTTAGGGGCCGGGGAATGTCCTGTCTGTCATGATGAAATTCCTGATCACTTTAATCCCCATCAAGACAACACCAAAAAGTAAGTGCAATTATATGTTTGGTTATAATATAATCTTCTCTGTCATGATCAGTGGAAGTATTGCTATTATTTTTAAAAATGAGTATAATAAAAAGCAGGAATCTGAAAAGTTAACTTAAACTCTCTTGTCTCAAATTTGTTTACTATATTGAAATCTCCAAATGAGCTTTTAAATTGTGATTTTATGAACATACAATTTCAGTGACACAAGTATAAAAAAGAGATATTTGTTTAAAATTTCTAGTCAATTTTATTTCAGCCTTAAGCTCCACCAATTAAGGGTTTTCCAAAGACACTGTAACAGTTTCTTCATGGATCTGGTGTCCCAGCTGTGTTTCACTGATGATGAGCCACCGTCCAGTCACGTGGTTCAGAAGCTGATGTCTTACATCACGACCACAGCTAGACGAGGACAGGGAGGAAGAATGGCCAGTAAAGAGTTGTCAGTGTTTGAGGAAGGCATTGATCCTACACCAGTCCTACGATCCTTCCTCCTACAACATCTTATAAGGACCAGGTGGGTTTTTGTTCACTAAACTTTTAATCTAAGGACAGGGTCTGAATGTATCAATTTTTCCTTACCAATTACATGCCCCTATATTATCCAGCCTTTGCAAAAAAAAAAAAAAAATTGAAAATAATTTTCTGCTGCATTTTTGAAGATTTGAAAGATAAAGAATGTTTAATATGATAATGAAAACATTTGCTTTGATCTTGCTATTCAGCTCTGGAGAAGTAAGCGAGTGTCTACAGATTTATCTGGATCAAGTGGAGGAGCTGATGTCCCTCAAAGAAAATGAAGACAAAATGATAGAACTCTCTCTGTTGGTCATTAATTGTCTAGAGGTAAATATGATTTAGAATCTCTCTCTCTTTCTATTCTGTCATTTATTAGCCAAACAGGTGGCCTGAGTATCAATACTAATATTTTATAAACTTTTTACAAAAGGACTCCCTGCATCAAGAGGTTACCAAAAATGCAGACCCTGAAAAATCTAAAATCAAGATGGCTACCCAGATGCTTCAGCACAATGTTCACCTGGTGATGAAGGAGGGTTTGGATGTGGAGAAGTTGTATTGTATGGCTGAGACCAGGTTTGGCCTGATTGTTGTGGCAGAGATCCTCCACAAGTTGTTAGTGGAGAGGTCAATAAATTTAGAAGCTGCTGGTAGGCTGTGTGATGAATGCGGGTCAAAGCAGCCAAAGTAAGATTGTATTTAAATTTTATCATATTACGGCCATCTTTAAGATAATGTTTGTTAGCCCTCTCCTGAGTCAGGGTAAAAAAGTTTGGGTTAGTAGGTAGTTGGGAAAAATCCCCCAATCCCCCCCCCCCCCCCCAAAAAAAAAAAAATTTCAACATACATGTACTTGTTGATGGGATGAGAAAACACAGGATAAAAAGGAAAAAAAATTATCTAATCCTAGAGGTTAAAAATAGTTTTGAATCGGTCATTTATGGCCAGTGGGTTGGTAGAGGGCAAACAATTTTTTAAAGTAACATTTCTCCATTTTTTAAGGCAAATGTTTTTAAGAAAAAACTATTTTCAAATTTTCTGCTCTTTTAGGTTGTTCCTGATCAAACATCTCTGTCGATGCTTTGGGTTGGAGACCTATCAAAAAGTCTGCAAGACAAGTGATGCTGCCACAGTTCGATGGTTAAGTGTTCCAGAACTCCAGAAAAACGAGGTATCTCATTATAAACAGCATGAGCACAGTAATTCATCTAACCATCTCAATTATATAACAGATTGTTTCTACAGTTTATGTGAAAAACAGGGGTTGTAAAAGATCAAGTTGTACAATTAAAAAAATATTTGAGTTGCACAAATGCAAATTGCTGAACATATTGTATATTTTACTTGACTTTTATGCATATGAATGAAAATAGAAAATTGCCCGAACCTATTGTTTTCAATGGAATAAGAAGAATCTTTGATATTTGACACAGATTGTTGAGTGCAGTGACAGGTTTATTGTGTGTGGAGACCAGTACAAAGCACTGAGAGAGAAATTGACCCAGGCAGCACTAGGACAGAACATGGAGTTATTCAACACTGCTATAGAGGTAGATTCAATGTACTCATTGAAAATGTATAGGAAGATGTAAAACATGATAATCATCAAAACTTAGTGTTAAATAGATTTAGAAGTTTGCTTTACATACATGTAATATGGTGTGCAGTACGAATAAATTCATATAATATGATAAATATTTAATCAAATAATCCTGTTAATCTGATGATCGATTATCAGTTTAACAGGAAACAGCATTTGTTGGTGCACATGTTTGTTTCATGAATTATGTCAGTAAGCTTTAAACGTAGGCAAAATATGTCATACTTTCAATGGAGTGTATACCTACATGTAAGTAGTCTTAATTTATGTTGCTTTTCAGAGTGTCAGGGTACCTGATTTCCAGAAAAGAACACTGACTGTCCTGGCTATTCTTAGGGAAATAACCATGTCTTATTTGTACCCAGAAAACAAGAGAAGAGTTACTACAGCTGTAAGTTCTTGTTCAGCCACATTTGCTGCCATTGTATTTCAATGGTTATCAAAGCTGCTATTTCTAAATATCTTGAAATTATCTTTATTCAGAGAATAAAATTCAATTGTTACCAAAATTCTCTTAGTTATTTCATGCTATAAGAAGATATTAACTGAAGTCACAAGTATGTATGATTTTAATTTTACATTTTCTTCTTCACAGGCTATTGAGCTATTACACCAGTTTATGGCACAACATCCTCTGTTTGCAAATCAGGTAAGGAAATAATTGAGCAATATATTAAATTTTATTATTGCCTGCTGTAAGCAATGCGTAAGGTCACAGCTTACATACAGTATTTTTATCCCTCCACTTTGATAAGTGAATGTCAAGTGATATTAATTCTTTCATCATGAATGATTTGTCTGATGACAAAATCTGTTCATTTAATGGATTTTTTATTTGTTGTTTACCAGGTTAATCTTCCTGAAGCACTCTGTAGAAATGCTCTGTGGAGGAGAAACCCTCATCTGACTGTTCAGGAGGGAATGGAACTCGGACATCAGAGTACGGTGTGTCTGTTGAACCACTTCTTTATCACACTGTTACAAATCCCTGAGGAGAGGACACTCATAGAACCCCTCAACAAACTGGTTCAACAACCACAGGACATGCAGGTGGGTAGTGTCAGGACTAGTTTCCTGTTGTAATAGAGTTTTTTGTCAAAAAAATTTTTTGGATGCAAATTGTACTTTAATGGGGAATATTAATTATAGATAAACTGAATTAAAAATGAATTACTTCAGATGGGAAACTTTAAGTTAGTTTCTTTGCAAATAAAGTAACTGTATAGCTGTAATAATGTATATTGCAATTATAATTTTGCTGCTCTCTAAAATGTATAATGAATGTTGCATCAACACCAGGAAGAAAATCAGTTACATATATCAGATGTAATACTAAAAAATGATGCTGCAAATTACAAAAAAGAACTTTTTAGAATGTTAGAATGGAAAAAGCATGATCAAATTCTGAAAATATAATGTGTGGATGATTTTTACCAGAGAGCTTTTCTGCCCACCATGCCACAGGATGATGTGGCAGAAATCAAGGAGGCACTGCTGGCTGCCAGACAAGGAGGCGATGAAAATCCTGTTTTTTATCGTAAGTGTTGAGGGAAAAAAAATATTTGATATGTACTGAATTTATGAATGTTTTGTTTAATGCACATGCTTTGTTTGAAGTGATATGTAACTTCCACAAAAAGCAAGAAGATTGAGGCAGCTACTTGTGGCCAACTTTTCAAAAGATGACATCTTAAGATTTTATCTAACCTTTTTTTTAGGTTGCCCCAATGGTCATCCATATGTAATTGGAAATGTGAGTATTTTTTTTTATCTTAAATGTGAGTATTTTATATCTTGTTTTGCACATTGAATTGAAATCCTTTGCTGCTTAGCAATTGCACATTGATGGGTTTTCTCTGTCTCTCTGTCTCTCTCTCTCAGTAAGCACGTTTTTGTCCCCCCCCCATCACTGAAAGAGGGGGTTATTAATTTGGGTCTCTCCATCTAGCTGTCTGTCTGTCTGTGAGTAACACTTTGGTTTCCAGACAATTGGTTTCCAGACAATATCTCAAGAAGCCTTTGATGTTTTGCAATGAAATTTTATACCACAACTCCCTTTGACGTAAAGAAGACCCCTATTGATTTTGAGTCAAAAAGTCTAAGGTCAAGGTCATAAATTCATACATTCAGTATGTGTGTCACACTTTTGTTTCTGGGCAATATCTTAAACAGCATTTGAGCTTTTGCAATGAATTTTTATATTACAATACCTAATACTCTAACAAAGACCCTTATTGATTTTGAGGTCAAAGATACAGATCAGAAATTCATACATTGCAAATGATGATTCCTGATGATAACTCAAGTTTTCTTTGAGCTTTCTCAATAAAATTTAATATCAAAACTCCCTTTGGCCTAAAGAAGGCCTCTATTGATTTTGAGGTCCAAAGATCAAGGACATAGATTTATACATTCTTTATGTGTGTAACACTTTCCTTTCTGGCCAATGTCTTAAAAAGCTTTGCAATGAAATTTGATATTGAAACTCATAATGGCCTAAGAGGTCAAGGTCAGAAATTTATACACATTTTCCAGATGATAACTTAAGTTTTCTTTGAGCTTTCTTCAGTAAAATTAACTATCACAACTCCTTCTGGCAAAAGGATGGCACCTAAAAGGTTGAAGGTCAAGTTAAGAAATTCATTTATTCTTTCTGTGTAACACTTTTGCTTCCAGACTATATCTTAAAAAGCCTTTGAGTTTTGCAATGAAATTTTATGACTCCCTATGGCCTCATATTGACTTTGAGGTCAAAGGTCAGGGTCACAAATATATATTGCATACACAGTTTTCAGATGTCATTTAGTTTTTCTGACAGTTTTTGCGAACTTTAAGAAACTTTAGGTCATAAATTTCTTGAACTTTAAAATTTAAGGCCAAAAGCTTAAAGGTCAAGGTTGACTTTTTTTTCTTTCACAATCTGCATTATTTCCCAGTTTTTCCACACCCTTTTCTTTTTTCCTTGTGTGGGAGACACAAATTCTCTGAATAAGCTTGTTTTGTTGTTACTTCTTTTTTTTTTTAAACTATCCCAATATGAATGCATGTTTACAGTTGTTTTTTCCTTTACAAAAATATTTTTTTATTCTTGAAGTTTAAATTTTGAATGCAAAAAAATTACTTTATGGATAATATTTACTACATATTTAACAATAATGTCAAAATGACATGTACTGTTATATTCCAAAAATTTTTTGAATTTATTTAATTTTAAGGCCAAAGATTTTAGTCTTTTTGTTGGATGACCACACTTCAATGATTATAGTGCATATATTATGAGGTAGTTATATTCCATTAAATTATTGATTCAGTCACTGTATGCTTGCATCCTGTATGTTGGAGCAAAGTCTCTTACTTATCACGTAGATTCTACTAACAGATTGTTGCTATTTTTATTTAATACCCATATATAGTTTATGTGGCAGGATTGCAAGTGTATTTGAATATATGTCCTCCAAAAGCATTGATATTTTCTTGCTTTAATGTGCGTGTGTACTAAATTTAGAAGCATTTTTACCCAATAAATTTAGAAGCATTTTTACCCAAAGATGAAATCAGTTCTTGTCTGAAAGCAAACTTTAAGTAATATATGATTTTACTTGCTAAATTTCTATAATTTCTTATAAATAATTATGAAAAAAAAAATATTTAAATATTATGGAGAGAATTAACTTATTTTCTTACGATAAGTGAGAGCCTGCACACATTCCAGAGAACACTGCAATAAAGTATGGAAAACTGAAATTTTCACCAAACTGTTGTAAATTGTAGTGTGGTCGTCCGTATTATAAAGGTCGTTGTAAAGATTGCGGAATGGAGATAGGAGGTGAAGGTCACAAACTTTTAGCCACCAATCATTTGCATGATGGGTAAGTCTAAGCCCCTTTTATATTTCAGTGTGGCAGACCCGCCACTGTGGGCAGATGTAAAGAATGTGGTCAAGAAATCGGGGGTCAGTCTTATCAGCTACGAGCTGGCAATGTTCTAGACCAAGGGTTTGTTTATATTTTATTTATTTTCTGCACATTGTTCACAAACATATCTGAATCTGAAAGCAGAAATTTATATCATATACTTTCAAAAATCATTGTGATTAATGGATGTCACAGCCTTTTCAGGAAATGATGGAATTTGGAAGTATTAATGAAAATGAAGATAAAAAGTAGAAATGTTGACTGAGCAGAGCCTTAGTGGTTTTCTGAGTACATATAATCTATATCTTTATTCCATCTTGACAGGTTAGATCAGACTGCCACTGGTCATATTTTGGGTCGAGCAGAGGGGAGACAACCCGTGGCCAGTCCTGAGAGAAGTCTGTCTCCCATTGAGTGTGCCATAGTCAGGCTCTTTACTCACATGGCCATGTACCTAGGAGCCAATGTCAACTTACAAGTAAGTTATTTTTGTAAGTTTTTATTCCAACCATGTTGTTAAATAACATCTGTCATTAGAAAGGGCTATCACTGACTGTTGGGATAAAATTATGCAAAATTTGTATTAAGTGACATTCTCTTGGATTATTGCTTTCCCTACAGAATAAAATTGTAAATTTCATTAAAGAGCAAATCTTTAAATATTTTAATTAGGGCCCCGCAAGGATTTGCGGGTGCCCTATAGTAATCACTCTGTCTGTCTGTCTGTCCGTCTGTCATTCTTCCGTCCACAAATTTTCTGTTTTTTTCTAATAACTTTTTTTAGGGTTGACCAATTAAGTTCAAATTTGGTATGTTGGTTGAATAGGCAGTAAGACATATTTTGATGCTAAGTTTGGTTCTCTGTGTCATCCGGTATGGAGCTGAGGTGGTGGGGTAGATTCCTTAACTTTGCATAAGAGTGAATGGACAAAGAGAGATAACTGCTGAGAATGTTCCTATTGTAAGCTATGAAAGGCTGCAATGAGTCTCTTGGGATTAATTAACTTTCCTCTTGAAGAAAATCCAAAGCATTTATCTTTATCTGCCACATTGAGATTAATTAACACCTCTGTCTGCAAATGAAGTTTGTTTTGAAGTTAAGGTCAATTTTGAATGATGTTTACATTCTCTGAAATGTGGATTTAAATAATGTTCATAGTCTTTATTTTGGTAAAATACACAATGAGTTATGATTTTATGGAATTCTAAAAACAAGATATACATGTAAATAAAGATATCTTTTTTATTATGATTTTATTTATTTTTTTATTTTTTTGTTTCTTTTTTTCTGCCTTATGTAAATTCAAGAATACTATTTATTTTAACAGGTATTCAGATAATAACCTCATTCTATCATTGCTGAAAAAGATCTTATTGTAAACTTAGAAGAAAAGTTTGAGAGATCAGTATAATTAATCCCCTGGGATTGATTATCTTGCTGGTTTGCAGAAAATTTTAGAGGGTTTATCTTTCTGTCACTTTTAAGATTAATTAACACCTTTGTCTGCAACTGATATTTGTTTTGAAGTTAAGGTCAAGCCTGGGTGATATTTGCATTCACTGAAGGCTGGCATTTTAGAAAACACATGTATGCTTCATTCTTCTTTAAATATGCTTATTCTTTATATATTTTTAAATTTTTGTAAATCAAGTAAAATTCTCATATCCCCTAATCTACACCCTTATATTTCTACCCCTCGGCGGGGCCCTTGCTGACAGGTCAGATTTCTAGTTTTAACAAGGAAGGTCCTTTGTTAGAGTATATTTAATTTGTTCATGTCCATTTACATAGGCTATACACAGCATAATAAAACCAGACTTGGATCCAGCAATAGTCCTGCCATTCTTGTGGGCACACATAGATAGAGATCTCGTCACTATCCAGAAAGCCATAGGAAAAAGCGTGGACGATGTCTATATCCTGATACATAGAATTTGTAATGACATCATGGAGAAACACAGAAGTGAGTTTCATACGGAAGTTCTTGATAGGGTGGTGGGTGGGAAGGGGGTTACATTAAAGTTCTTTATCAATTTAACCCTTCTCAAGTTGTCTTCTTTCTTGATTATGATGGAATTTTTACATGGGAAAATATGTGAAATGAGAACTTTAAGACAATTTGAGTCTCCATCTTCTTAATAGTTGCATTAGTGTCCTCGATCACCAACAATTCCTCCAGCCAAACTCTTCTCTAGCTGATGCATGCAACATCCATGGTTTATTTCTTAAAAGATCAAAATGACTGTATTTGTAATTATCAAAATAAACAGCAGTACTTATAGTAAAAAAAAATCTTACTTTCAGACACTCATTTAAACCAAGAAATATGCATCTTGGCAAATAAAAACAGCAGGAAAAAATGGGAAGATGATTTCACCAAGACTTATCTATCTCCAGTTCTTCAGGTATTTTATTAAGGATTTATAGTCTTTACTATTCATATCACAAAGGAAGTCATTGCTGTGAATTCAGTATTGTGAATTTTACTGTTATTTGGTCTACATTTATGTTGGAAATAAATATTCTTTTCTTTTTCAGGAAATGGATGGCTATCTGAAATCTGTGAATAAACAGCTTGCTAATGACCAGAGACTTGGTGAGTCACGCTTAGCCAGCCTAATTTTCTGTAAATTCATGTCTGGATGTTTTCTAAAATGTTGTATCAGCAATATACATTCTAGACAAGTTTCGATCTACAACTGTAACAAATGGTTTAGTCTCAATAGACAGTATAAGAACATTGAAGGTCTTTCTTGTTTCACAGGTTCAGACCCTTTGCTGTGTTTGTTATTTGAGATAGACATTCCCTCTGAACATTCCTCACCAAGCACTCTTCACAATGTTCCAGCTGTGTGGCGCTACCGATCTCAGATAACTATGGACCACTTACTACACACCTTACAAGTGCAGAGCAGGGCTCATCAAGTCCTCCACATGTTTTTACAAGAGGTAAACACTGATGTACCTGTATGTTCATGCTTACTCTCATTTTTTGAGTAAATGCAGGACTTAATAGGGGAAACAATAAGGTCTATTCTAGGCTTATGTAGGATTATCCAAACCGAACTTCAGTATATACAGTTCATATATTGATGCTATTGATGCTTGATTCGATGCATGCATCAAGTGCTACATCTGACCTACATTTTGTGGATTAGTTTAAGTGAGTGGATTAAGTGGAAGTATGTCAATATCAGTCCCAAAACTAGTTGGAGACCTTTCATTTTAGGAACACCACCTGAGAGCTATTCGCCTGGTACCAAACATCCTAAAGTTGCAGAGGATGCTGATACAGAGATACCAGAGAAAGCTGGACAGAGCAGAGGCCACAACAATAACAATTGAGGACATGATACAGTCTTATGAAAACGGTAAATCTTTTATTATACCATGAATGGATTTGACCATTAAGACGTTGTTTGTCCATTTGTTAAGAGGTAGTCACTTATTAAATATGCAATTCGTACATCCTCTGTGAAGACTGCGATAGTTTGAAGTTAAATTAACTGATGCATTAAAAATGATTTAGTATACAGTTGAACTTCGGTATTTCAAACACTGATATCTCGAATACCATGGATATGTCCAAGTGATTTGGAAGTTCCAATTACTTATGACTTAAGTATTTTACCCTGGGTATCTCGAACCCTTAGATATCTTGAAGTATTTTCTCGGTCCCATCAGGTTCGAGATAACGAGGTTTGACTGTATTAAATAAATACGGTAAAAGTACTTTTTTTCCCACATGATATTTATTTACATTATGTTTGCAGTTATGTTTTTTTTTTGCGTACGTAAAGTGCATTTAAGGTATCTTGAGGCAATCTAAGAAAACTGCTTAATTTTCTACCCACAGATTGAACAGAAATTGTTATTCTGTGGAATTATGGGAAAAAAAGTACATTTACCATATCTTATTGATGCACATATAACTTTAAGTAAAATTGTTAGACTTATGTTCAGTTGTATTTTGTTGTTGACAATCAACTTTAGAGGGAAGAGCAGAAGAGATTAAGAATTTGGTAAGGGACTTCATTGAGGCATGGCAGTGTGTGCGAGAACAACTTTTAACATTCAGTAAGTTTTATAGAGCTTTATTTTAGAACTACTTTTATTTAAGGCTAATAATTTAAAGTAAAATCTTGAGACAGTGCACATGGTGTAATTCTTAATTTTCCTTGCTAAGTAAACTCAATCATTTGACTTTTCAATTTCCTTATAGGAAAATTTAACGTTTAATGAATGTCTCTTTCTAATCTGAAATAAAAAGTTGAAAATGAATAGGTTCAGTTGTTCTGATAATTATTGTGAAAACTTGAAACTTGATTAATATCGTAATGTATGAATCGTTGCAGCTTTTCCCACCCTGGAAGGACTAGGTAAGGTCCCTAAGGAGTACTGTCAGAAGGTGATTACTGAGAGTCACCCCGTATCTGTATTGTTACCGACCTTCAGGGATGCCGGACTCTGCTCCTATGGCCTCCTGTACTTCTTACTGAAGAAACAAAATAACTTCCTTCAGGAGTACTGCAAGAAGAAAAGAATGCAGTAAGCCTATAGTTTTGATATTTTTATGATTCTCTACAGATGCAGTAAATGGGATTATTTTAAGTTCTGGAAATTAATGACAATTTCCTCTGTAAAAGTCAAAGCTTCAAATCAAGGGCATGTACCTGAAAAAAAAAACTCTACTCAGGGTTTGTAGTTTGAAAAACATCTGTGTGACATTATATTATCATATATATGTAATATATTAAATACTTATTGTATTTATGCAGATGTACTATCATGAATTTAGAATTATGGGTATTGGCTGTAACATTTGAACAAAGATTTTGAGATTAATTGAAAATAAATTGAAATTACAGTAAAACACAGTTACAACAAACATGTTTTTTTATGAATTTATGCTTACAGCTAAGTGATTTTCATTCCCTTAATATTGCTTTAAAATATTATGAACTTAACAAAAATGGAAGCCCCTAGAACTTTGCCATAAGCGTGTTTTACTGTAAATATATGTAATGATCGATGCTCAGTTGATTTCACTGTTTTTGACATGGTTTATGCAGTTGGTGCTTTTAACTTCATACCTTATATTTGATGTCTATACGAGATTTAAAGATGCTTCAAGAAATATAATAAATAAAATCTATTTTCACAGGTATAATCAACTACCCAAGGTTCAGGTGAATGGTGTGACCTCTGCCCACCTCATCAGCTACCACCCTGACAGAGACATCCTCCCCATGGTCATTGCCAATTGTCACTACACCTTTGAGGTCGGCAAAGGAACCAAGATAGATTACAACTTTGGTGACTTGGAGCGCCAGCTCATGGACCGATTCCTTTTCTCCAAGTCTGTCATTGACATGCCTGTTTATGAGGTACATAACTAAGCAAAGTTGAGAAACAGATGAAAATCATGCAGATATATCATGTGCATTCAAATAAAGGTTGAAGTAATGTACCTTAAAACTTTACAGAAAAAAAAAAGATTTGATAAAGTAATGGTTTTAAAATTACCTGGTTTATCTCAACAGAGTGTTCATTGATAAGAAAAGTTTTGGATTTTTAGGGATTTTTATTCTGTTCGCTTTCAGGTTAAACCATTGGGAAGTGTGTATTGCTCTTGGTTCATCCTCTATTTGCCTGTATATATAAATTAACTTTTAATTAGATGAAACTTGAAATATATAAGATACTTCCTACAATATTTGGCTAAGGTCTATCCTTCATGCCAAATCAAAGTCAACCTCAAGATTAAGAAAAGGGGGCTCTTTGCTTCAGGAATTACGTCCTACAAACACATCTGACAATTTTTCACTTCTAGTTAAAGATTAGTTTTGGTACAAAAATGTTCAAATAATGTTACTATAGCTCAGAAATTTTAATGTGCAACATATTTGACCCACATTAAATTGTCTTGCAGTTTGAAATGATGACATACAGATCAGAGACAACTAATGCAGTGGTGTTTAGACATCTCAGGCAGAAAATCAAACAGGTTTGTCAAAAACTTAGCAATTTAAGGAATAATTATCTTCTTAAATACCAATAGTCTATTTTTTCCAATTTTGTCATCTCTGAAAATTATAACTGTTTACCTATATCTGTTCAGATAATAGAGATAAAATTTAATGCTAAAGAAAATTATTCAAGTGCATGTGATTTGTTCCCTTTCCTTAACTATTTTGATTTTATTCACAGGAACCTTTGACCCCAGCAGTAGCCAATCAGATCAGTGAAGAGATCAGAGCTTACCCTGACCTCTGTCAAACTCTTGATAAGCTTGACATTACCATCAGCTTCCTGAAATCTGTAGGGGGTGATGCTAACATGTCCTTGGAAAAATTTATGACTCAGACTCTTAAAATGGAAAATCCATTCCCCAGTCAAAAGGTTGGCCATATATATACATATTAAGATGTATGTTATGTTTATGATTTTTGACATATATTTGTGTCACCTTAAAAGGATGTATGTCATGATTTCTTGTGTCACTGGGTCTTTTGTAGGATAAAAATCCAACACTGGATTCGGCACAAACTATATTTATTTACTGTGCTTAGAACAAAAAACCTACAAAGTATAAATTAAACACACTCTCACAACACAATACACACTCAAAACGAATACTTTACATTTAATATCAGACATTAACAACACATAAATTATATGATTGTTCGCTGTCGGGATTAATTAATAAAAGTAAATTATAAAATGCATTTATATAATAATTATAATAAAGGTAAACAGAAAGCTTACCAGGAATCCAGTTAAATTAACTCCAAGTAATACTTTACAGAATACTTTTATGTTTTAAATACATGTACAGACTTCTACCGTAAAGGCAAAAAGCATGGGGGTCGAGAATTGGCGGGTTCTGCGCTTATATACTCGGTGCAGAAATTAAAACATGCATATTAATAAGATAAAACAGTCGGTTATTGGTCAGCTCACCGGAAACACGTGAAAATACAAAAATAAACAATGTCACATGATCTTTCAAAACATTCACACTAGACACACAACACAAACAAAAGCAGGGAACACATTCGATTGGCAATGCACGCCAATTTTATGTACAAATTAAAACACAACATCTGTGACACTTGTATATGACCATGACATGTGAAGTAATAAGAGGGGCAGGTGTATGTTTCAGTTTACTGTAACAGAATGTTTAGTTTAATTATGTTTGTTTTCTAGGCAAGATCTTCCTGTGTGTGTAAGCATGCTCAGTCACTTTGGATCACATTGGCAATGGAGAAAACCAAAAGACAAGCTTCACACAAAGAGGTAATTTATATTATAATTTATATATGAGAACAATTCCTGAGTTAACTGTATTATTTCAGGGCTATAGTCATACAAGATAGAGTTTAAATTGAAAAGGAACATGTTCACGTATTATACATGTAATTGTAATGAAAATCTTCTTCTTGGTTAAAATGTGGATTAATTATTTTGCCTCTTTGAAGGATTAATTATTTTGCCTCTTCTCAGGATGCTTTTGAGGGCGTGGCCAGTGAGTTGAGGGTGGACCTCCACCCTGATCAGCGTGACATCATCACCATGTTCTGCGAGGAACTCTCCATAGAGAGACTAGAACTCCTACTGGAGACCCTGTTTGAGTGTATCATGTTGACGATCACAGTTCCCAAAGGAACAGATGATGATGATTTAGACATGTCCAAACTCAGGTAATTGATTAAAATGTTGAAAGTAGGAGAAAACTTGCACATTAATTTAAATAAAATACAAAAAATTTTGTTCTTACCGAACAGTCAGAGTAATTCTAAAAAATGGCAATTACTCTGACACAGTCAATTTTCTCCATAAAAATGGGAAATTAATGTTTTTGTGGAGTTCATAAGACTTATTTTATAATTACCCTAATATGACTGAATATTTATAATCCTTTGTAAGTTCTGACAAGAGGAATATTAAAGATTAAAATTCAGATAAACATGCAGTTTCATTGATTGAAAATTATTTATATATTTATATAATTGTTTTCTCAGCTTAAGAGACACTATGATTGGATATTTATCTTACCTGTCACTCTTTCTATTCTCAGCCTAAGAGACACAATGATTGGATATTTGTCAGCACCTCAATATGACCTTGACCTGACCTACCCAGGATGGATGACTGACCTGGTGGGAAGAATCCCCAATGAAGGAGAAAACTTCACCAAAATCATGAACAACCAAGCTGTTGATGTGTGGCTGTTTTTGTATGCCATCTACTCTCAAAAACAAAGTGAAAGGAGATAAAAAGTGTATGTTGTACGACAGAGTGAAAAATAGAGGAAAATAAACTCCTGGTTTTGGATGTAACATTTATTTTAGATAACATGTATACATATACATGCAGAAAAGGTGACTTTCAGACATGTTTATCTTGAGTATAAGACATCATTTAAATGATACCATGCATGCACAATTTAAGTACTAATGCATATCAATTCATTTCATGAACATTGCCATATTAAAGAAAAGCTTTGTTGTGAACACAAGTTTCTTTGTGATAATTAAAAAACACATTTGTGCCAATTAATTTTTGTACCTGCATTAGAATCATTTTATATGCTTTGACAAGTTTTCTCTGATGACATTTGAACATATTTTATTGTATAGATATGATACAGTTTGAACACAGTTATGTTCTAACGAAATGTCTATAGAAAAACTTTGATATACAAACTGGTTTTTATACATTATACATGTACATTCATAACATATGTTAAATATATAACTTATTTGAATTCTGGTTTTTAGGCTTTAATAATATTGAATAAATCTACCAGAATCTCTGTTAAGTTTTTTGTACCAATTGAAAAATATATTGATTTGATTTCAAGATTTTGTGATTCATCTCCCCACAGAAGTAGGGGATTAATATTTGATTTTGTAAGACATAAAAGGCTTCTAAATAGTTCCTTACTACCATGTTGGTATTTACTCAAAAAATAAATGACAAAATTTCAGATGAATCTACTTAATTTTTGCTGTGCTTTCAATAAAAGACTTTCAAATACTTTGATGTTATAAATAAATGTATACTAGTTCATTTACTCTCTGTTTTGATTAATGTTATTGACATCCAACTTTTCATGTGACCAACATAAATAACCAAATGCAACATACATTTTGGGGCCGTGCATCCTCTACCCGGTATTTTGTAGTGTGCAATTATTTTTTAAGCTACACAATTTTAAAATACATGTACATAGACATGAATAGTTATTTAAAACTGGTTTAATCAAATGTATTTTTTCCAAGTTTAAAAAAAAAATGCTGTTTATGTTATATGCTTGGAAGGATGAAGTAGTTATTGGTTGGTATGCATGTATTATGATGTATATTCATTTGTTAAAAGTGTGTATCTTTGTACCAAGATTTAAGAAGAAGAAATGATTTATCCCTGACATATTAATGAAAACTAAAAACAAATATGAAAATATGTTTGATCAACAGAAGAGCCAAGAAATTTAAATTCATACCAATTTTTTTACAGAGGGCATGGCTATATAGTGAAAAAAGACATTTTGCAGAGTTATTTTTGTGCCTTCATTTTAGAAAATCTTAGAATTACACAATAAAATGGGGATATTTATCATGTTTATATTACTGAATGCTTTGTGTAACAAGAGTATATATGCATCATTATTTTTTTTTTCTTTGTAGTGCTTTTTACATTTTGTGGTAAATTCATGTGTGCAATAAACTATTTGTTCAGGTTTGAGTTTGATTATTTCTTCGAGTAGATAATATCTCAAGTTCTGATAGATCAACAACATTTTATCAATTAATCAACAAGAGCTATTTTCATTCATATGTCATCTTGATATATTCTAATGAACTCGGTGAAGTAGAAGACATCACAGAGTCTGCCACAAAATTTCATTTTACACTCCAACAAGTCAGAATATATTAGCATAGTAAAAAAAACAAATATTAAATATTCTGAATTTTTTCATTAGTCCCAAAAATGATTTTGGTTAGATTTCATGGGATAATTCCATGATCATTTTTGTACACAAGTTACTTCATTGAATTTTGTTCAGGTTTTAACTTGGGTTCTGTTGGTTATATCTATGCAGTTCTGAGGGTGATATTGTTGCATGGAATAAGAATTAAGTTCTCCCAGTAAATGATGGGGAGTGGATCTCAAATGGTCTAGAAGCAGGGACATCTAAACCCCCAAAATCAGTAATTGATACAGCGCAGATGGAAAAAAAATGTACAATTAACAGTGACACTAATGAATTTGGAAATAAACAGTTAGATCCATACCTTTTGGATCCTCATTTCTTCTAATAAGTAGAATACTGCGGGTTTTTCAAAGTCGTTTGGAAAGTAAGAAAATGGCAACATTGTTTTCTACAAACCAGGGCTATAGATACTGATATTCAGGGTGTCACGTTAAAAAAATCAATGTTATATACATACATGTGATAAGTCAAAGACCACAAAACTGTACAGGAGCCATAAAAAAACTGGAATTTGGGTGAAAAAACTGTACACTGCCTATCAAAAAACGGTACAAAAAATGGTATAAAATATCGCTTAAATTCTGATGAAATTCCATCGTAATCATTGTAATAAACATCGTATATTTTATACCTACGAAGATCTGGGTCAGATTCACGTATATCAACTTTAGAAGTTGACTTAATTTTTTTCAATCAAGTTACGTATATGAAACATTAACAGTAATTAAGTACCCCTTAAAAAATAAAGCTACCTAAAGGGGTATTTGATACGAATTTATAGCAAGATAATTATCCCAATTGGCAGTTCACACCTTCGCACGCGATGGTTGTGTACACTACACAATTATCTGAAGGTCAAGTGTCAACACAGGTGACGTTTCCAGTGTCTCGCGAGCGAGAATGAGAGGAAAATGGCGGCATTTAGCGAGAACTGTACAAAGAGCTAGAGCCACGAACCATCAAAATGTGCCTTAAATTTTAGACAAAATTTAAGTTTGAAACCACTAAGCCGGTCATATGTTATATTGTAGTGCACAATGTCATGCTACTCTACATACAATTTTTGGCCACACAGACCACCGTCTTTAGCACATGCGCAGCATCAAATATACAAATGAAGTTAAAAACTGCTTACAAACGTCGATTTTACGGTAGTTATTTCAAAATTTGAATGTGGCCACACTCAAGTACCGATTCCAAACTTTGCAGAGAGAAAAATATTACATATATGCATTTTTAAGCAAAATATCTTAGAGGTACTCGAGTGTGACCAATATGAATTTTACATTTTATGAACGATGAGCTATCAGAAAGTGAAGCAAGGTCCTCCATTTTAACAGTAATTATGTTATAGTTACACTATAGATATTAATTGGTTAGCTGTAAATACACTCACAGTTTTTCATTCACGAGAGGCGGAGCCCCGAGTGAATAAAAACTGTGAGTGTATTTACAGCTAACCAATTAATATCTATTGTGTAAGTTACTTGTACCAGAGGACCAATGAGAGAAAAGCGAGTTGATAAATAGCACCGCCTACTAGGAGGTGTCAAGACACGGTCCGGAGTCTGTATAAATAGCTGTCTCCATCTGCAAGGATCATACTTTACTGCGGCACTGCTACTACAAGTTGTTGATAAAAAAATCGGAATTGCATGGTACGTGTGAAGATATTGTACCTTTGAAATGTTGAAGACGCAGAAAACATGATTTTTGTCAGGTACAGGTATAGGGGTAGCGATTGTAGGCTTTTATGTTCAAGCCGTCAACTCTGAAAGAAAAGTTATTTTTCTAGATCGTTTTTTTTTTTTTGAAAAAAGGGGGGATGGATATAGGAAACATCGGCATTGAACTTTTTCTTTATGGCAATCGGCGTACAGAAAAAAATGAAATGATTTGTGACATTTTAATGAAAGTTTGAAATGGTATTGGAAGTAAAAAAAATGCGGGGACTTCTGATGTGAAATTGCTATATGTATTTGGAGACGGGAAAGAAAATGACGAGAATTCGAGATATAGGACGTATCATTTACTGATTAAGGATACGCGGAGAAAACATACAAAACCATTTATGAAGCGGACACCGACAAGCTAAATAATGTTAGTATTTTTGAAATTTAAAATGTTGACTTAATTCATTCATCAGCCATTGCCTTGGTCTTGAAATTGACATCATTCATTCATTCATTAGTCAAGGTCTTGACACAGTATGGCTTGATGCCAAAAGGTGGGCGTGACTTTAAAAAAACTGTGATTCTTCTGGCAAATACACCACAGCAACATGAAAGCAAAATCTAAATTTACCGCCAGTCCTATGGTACAAGAGTTCATTATATACATAAATAGCTTAAATTAGTTATTAGTATATGAGATTTATTCTTGATAACTACATAATCCCTAATGTGTCAATTATTTTGTTTTAGAATATCTTAAACTCACATTTAACATGTGTTGTTTCATATAAAATTTAAAATTACGTTCTTTTCATTCATACTTACGTACATCAATGATGACGTCATAATTTGACGTTTTTGACGTCGACTGCATCTCATAGATAATTTGAAGAAGTTTGCCAAAATAATTTCAAAATAGATAATTGAAAAGTGTCGAAATCCAGTTTCCGATTTTTTGCCAGTACTACATGTTGAACGTAAAATTTATTTTCAGATTTATTATATTGATAAAAATACAAATTATTATCTAAAATATATACAATACGCAAAAATTATGCGCGTTTTAGATATACATGAAGCGGAAATAGTTTGACTTGTTCACACACTGATATTTTATATGAAGAAATTATACGGTTAATTGTGTTCTCGATCCAATTATCAATAATTTTATTTAGCTAACAGCTTACATATCATATACCCCTTTAAAAAATAAAACGACTTAGAATTTTTTGACGAACACAAAAAGGGAAAAAAGAAAAAAAATATCCAATGCGCGGAAAGGGGGGGATGTTTTGACAATAAAAAAATTCCCTGAAAGGGGGTGCGGGTGTAAGACATTTGTCTTGAACAAGCCACTAAATAGACTCTTCTTACCAATTTACAGGGGTCCCTGTTTCTTGTGTGCATGTGTGGAGGAGTGTTTTCAAGGACATCTATCGGTCATTTTATTATATAGATCTAATAACTCTGAAATTGAATAACTCCGGAACACCCCCCTCCTCTCCCCTATAGATCCGCGCATACGTATATGCATCATTTTGTATCTATAGAAAAGTGTCCGACCCAATGTCAAATGTGTCCGAAATTCTATTACATCTGAATGCATTTTGAGGTACAATACCGAGGTGATCCAAATAAACTGAAAAAAGGTGTCCGACTTACGATTTGCACACATAGGATATATAAGATAGTAATGCCTTTCCAATACATATTTTGGACCCTCATTTACTATTAGATGGTTTGCCTTCATGTACCGGCTTTCTAAATCACATCTAGGGTGATCAGACATAGCATGGATCGGACGGCTTTAACAAATTAGATCATTAAGGTAAAAAATTAGATTCAAAGGATTATTAGTTTAGAAGGGAATTCCTGCAGAAGTGATGTAAAAATGTTACTTAAGGGGGTGACAATTAAACAGAAAGAATAAAGCTTTTGAAATATGAATAGTCCAGGACATACTTTATTTGTCAATCTATATTATATACTACCTATTTTAATACTACAATAAACGTGAAATTGGGACAATTATTTTGTTAGAAAAGGCCCTTCACTTAAGACTGG